TTTTGAAAAGGTAGGAGCCCTACAATAGGTGTTCTCAGCAGAGCTCTCCTTTAATTCCGTAAGGTGGCCAAATGTTAGAAAGCATACATTTTTGAGTATTGTAAATGCTGAATGTTCCGCCAAATTGTATAAACTCTTAATTTTTAGGGCAAAGCCACTCAATTCTCTTCCGAAAAAGCAAGTTCGATAGTGATAGTGGTTTCCGGCAAGGCCCACTTCAAAGCAGGATCTTTGGATTTGGCCGTACATCGCGGTGACGTTGTCTTTATCTCTGCTGCCATTGCCGACGTTCAGATAGCGAGTCCGTCCATGGATTTCGTGTGCTATCGAGCGTTCACTCCTCGACATTAACTCATTTGTTACCGTTTATAAATTGTGAAATCATGACAAGATTGATAAGGTGCTAAGTAGTGTAATCATCTTCTTTGACCACTAGAGCTCTCCTAGGAGTTTTGGCACTATATTGTGTTATGTGAATGTACACTAGGTCTCATTAACTTCTCAAGTCTTTGACCTTGCTTAGCTTTATGCTGTCTGATATCATTCTAGTCATGGAAATAATTTATTACATTTTCTTAAACTTAGATCAGAGCAATGTTTTAATGGCTATTGCCTCATATGACATCAGCTATTGATTTGAGTTAAGATACCATCATAATTCCCTGTTTCTACTGTTTACGAAAATACTCAATATATAGCCTTTACAACCTGTTGGTTTTCAAATTTGCATAGTCTCTTATAGTCGCAAATGTTTACTAGATAAGCGGATTGAGCGGTTGTTTCGCCTTTTTACGTATTTCTAATCTACAAACGGGTGGGAGTCAATGACTGATAAGCAGCAACTTGAGTAGTGGAGAAAATATTAATTATAATTCTAGAAATAAATGCCTTACGTTGGGAACTATGCGAGTAGCTGTTTAGGATTCCACTAACTTAAACAGCTACACTTTAGTGACAGTTGCTACGGTAAATTCAAAACTACAGTGGTGATATGGACCCCTTAATTTCCTTTTTCTTCTTCTCGCATGCTGATGTTCCTTGCATCGGATCATATATATCGATCTGATCTAGGCCGACATACGAGTATCTATTTCTCAAACCTTCTGCGGAAAAGTCGACCTGAAAATCGAACATTTCCAAGGGTGGACTGTTCAGTTACGAGTACAGAAAAAAGTTGGAGAGTGTCCAATTACCGATTCATATGTTCCATTGTATAAGTAGACCTTTTCACAAATCCAGTGATGCCTATCCCCGTGCACGTCTCCACTGGCGTAGATCCTTAATTATCAGAGTAGCATTAACCTAGATTCATTGCAAAAACTGTTTA